AGCAGTTTAGCTCCACCCATTTAACCTGCAGTACGTATGTAATAGACGTTGTACCATTACCACTGAATTTATTTGTTTTTTGAATAGGCACAATACAGGACAACCAATCAAAACAGAGCTTTACATATATCGGTCTTAAAGTCACAGTAACAAAAACAGCCTGTTTAATTCTAAGAGAAAATGATCATGTAAAAATGAATTATGTGAGTTTCTGATTTATATAAAATCACACAAAATTAGACCCAAAATACAATAAAAATGCAGGATGTGGTCCCTTTAATGCACTGGGACAATGTCTTAAAGCTGCACTATGTAAGATTTGGGGATTTGGAGCCCTCTCTGGTGGACATGTGTAACCACACACAGCAACTGCATCTTCCAAGGATGTGAGTGAATTATCTACTATCGTCATCATATCTTCATCAGTATGATGTTGATTTGAGATCATTTGAGGCCGAAACATCGAGCCGGACCTTCTTTCAGAGTCTGTGTGTGACGTTAACACGTAAAGACGTACGACAGGCTTTACAGGCGGCTCGCAGCAGCAGCGCCGTATTTTGGCCTGTTTGTATTCTCCTCACTCAGTAACGACACTCAGTTTTAAAAGACATCTTACATAGTGCAGCTTCTAAATCTAAATCTTGAATGTTTTTTCTCTGTAACAGCATCACTTTCTGCTGTTGTCATCAACATGAAGCCCTTGTTTTTCTGGCTGCAGTCAGACAGAGAAGCAGGTCTGTGTGCAGAGGAGGTGAGACGTGATGGGTTTATCCTAATGCAGGTTTAGAGGAGACGCTGGACTTACACTGTGAATCATACGGGCTGTAATCAGGATCAGCTGTGGAAACACAGACAAACGGTCAGAGCATGAAACACGTTTTATCCTATATAAACATTGAGGATGCACGGATATGGAGCCAGAGCTGATACCTGACATTTTTAATACAGAGGAGCGCAGGGAACAACCTAACACAGGGCCCCATTCAACACGACTCTTATTCTGTTATAGAAGGTCAAGCAGCATGAGCTTCTGGCCACATTACCACATTTCCTAGCTGTGCCCTCCCACCAGATTCTAACAGGAACACTGCACTTCCCTCATTTTGGGTGGAATTGTACTGAACGGTAGGAGCTGGAAACAAAGTTCAGGTGTTCGTTTGTAGCAGAGATGTTTATGTTGCTTGTATAAAAACAAGATTATTCCAACTTCAATATTTAAAAAATGATTTCACAAAAATGAATGTGTTGGGTTTTGTTCCGCTCTCCCCTACACATCAGCTGATGATGGCATATAAACCACCTGGATTAGCATTACAGACAAATATAATTATATTTCTAGAGTTGAAAATGCGGTAAAATAAATAAAATGCGGATATTTTACTGCAGCAACTAATTAAGTCGTGGCCATGATTTAGTAAGTATGGAGCCCTGCTGGTGACATCCCATATATATATATAATAACGTGTGGGAATAAGATCATAATGTGTGGCCACGACTTAGTAAGACATGGGAATGAGATAATTAAGCTGTGGTCACGACTTAGTAAGGCATGAGAATGAGATAATTAAGTCAAGGCCATGACTTAGTAAGGCACGGGAATGAGATAAGTTGTCGCCATGACTTAGTTAGGCATGTGAATGAGATAATTAAGTCAAGGCCACGACTTAGTAAGGCGTGGGAATGAGATAATTAAGTCATGACCACAACTTAGTGAGGCATGAGAATGAGATGATTAGGTTGTGGCCATGACTTAGTAAGGCATGGGAATCAGATAAGTTGTGGCCACAACTTAGTAAGCCATGGGAACGAGATAATTAAGTTGTGGCCACAATTTAGTTAGGCATGTGAATGAGATGATTAGGTTCCATGACTTTGTAAGGCATGGGAATGAGATAAGTTGTGGCCGCAGCTTAGTAAGGTGTGGGAACGAGATAATTAAGTTGGGGCCATGACACAGTAAGGCATTGCAATGGGATAATTAGGTCATGGCCACAACTTAGTAAGGCACAGGAATGAGATAAGTTGTGGCCACGACTTAGTTAGGCATGTGAATGAGATAATTAAGTCATGGCCACGACTTAGTAATGCATGAGAAAGAGACAATTAAGCTGTGGTCACGACTTAGTAAGGCATGAGAATGAGATAATTAAGTCAAGGCCACGACTTAGTAAGTCGTGGGAATGAGATAATTAAGTTGTGGCCACGACTTAGTTAGGCATGTGAATGAGATAATTAAGTCATAGCCATGACTTAGTAAGGCACGTGAACAAGATAATTAGGTTGTGGCCGTGATTTAGTAAGCCATGGGAACGAGATAACTAAGTTGTGGCCACGACTTAGTAATGCGTGGGAACGTGATAATTAAGTTGTGGCCACAATTTAGTTACGCGTGTGAATGAGATGATTAGGTTATGGCTTTAGCGACATGATCAACACTTGATCTCATAATGTTTTGGCTCAGTGGTGAATAAAGCTCCTTTTTTCAGTTCTCAAAATCTAAAAAGTAAAACATTGGAAAGATAAAATACTCGTCTTAAAGGGGAACTCTTTAAGAGTCGTTCAGAGTGGTTTGGTGTGAAACGCTCTGTTCTAGATAAACTTACCGAGTCAGAACTGTTCACAGTGGTGGTGATAGGAACCAGACGTCCACCTCTAAAAGCTCCCTCACAGAAAGTTCCTACATGAAATGGTTATGAATTCACTGCCTGATGACTGAGACACTGTTTTATGATAGTTTAGAGAACTTAAACTCCATTCATGGTGGAGGGATACATGCAGGGCGCTGTGAGGCAAAATAGTCCCCAAGGAAAACGTATTATGTCAGATTTTCCACTATTTTCCATCATCAACATTCCATATAGACTCAGAAGACTCGTGTAGGTTCACTGGTGGTTCTGGATAGTAAATAAAATGTCTATATCTGTGTTGTAGTCATGGCGACCCCTGGTTCCTATCACCACCACTGTAAAGACATCTGAATCAGTAAGTTGCTCTACAAATGAACCATTTCGCATCAAATCAATGACTTTGTTTATATCTCAAGCACTGAATTATGCAGAAATTTTGTATTCCTCTTTAATGAAATACACTATTACAAACAAACCCATAATAGACACTAATAATAATGATAATAATAATAATGATAATAATAATAATAATAATAATAATAAGTAAATGTGCAGAATAAATAAATCTGAATAATGTGAATTAAGTCTAAATAGACCAACAGAACTGGAGAGATGCAACCAGCTGCACATACACATGTATAATAATAATAACAATTATTAAATAATCTGGCACAGATTATCTGTGCTGTGTTTTACTTCTCACCAAATTTGAACAGGTCCTCTCTGTAGTCAAACGTCTGCGCCAGGATGACTGCAGGTACAAAAAGAGAATTAGTTACGGGGTCTCTGCAGGACCACCAGGCAGAGGGGGCGCCCACAGGGACAATAACTTTTATTACACTGAGGGTCTTTACTACCTTATTACTGTAATTGGTCAACAGCAGGTGTGTGTGTGTGTGTGTGTGTGTGTGTGTGTGTGTGTGTGTGACTCACCGGGCAGACCCAGCAGTAGGAGGACGCTGGCTCTCATCGTGTGTGTGTGTGTGTGGAGGTAGACTCACTCACGCTGCAGAGAGACAAACAGCAGCACTGAGAATCTGTTCAGTTACGATTCTTAAGGAATCGACTCAGTGAATCAAATCAGCTTTCACTGGACCTGTGTCCAAAACCACATATTGCACTTGCTGTCAGTAGTGCACTACACTCTTAAAAAAGATGGTTCTTCATGGGTTCTTTAGTGAAGAAAATGGTTCTATATAGAACCATGAACACTCAAAGAACCTGTTGCATGATGAAATGATTCATTGCCTGGTCAAATGGTTCTTCAGATTGATGGATAATGTGTTGTATATGGTTCTATATAGCATCAAAAGAGATTCTTTTATTGATACGACATCAAGCTTGACACAATTGAAGAACCTTTTTTGGTGCTATATAGAACCCTTGTCAAAAAAAGTTCTATATAGAACCATATACAGCACATTCTCCATCAGTCTGAAGAACCATTTTACCATGCAGAGAGCCATTTAATCATGCGAAGGGTTCTTGGAGTGTTCATGGTTCTATATAGAACCATTTTTTTTGTTAAAGAATCCTTGAAGAACGCTAGTATGCCGTTTGGACATGGTTATGACAATGGTTCTCCGCATGGTGAAATGGTTCTTCAGATTGATGGTCAATGTGTTGTATATGGTTCTATAGCATCAGAAACAGGTGTTCTCCTATTGCAACAAGATTGACCATTTTTAATGATAGCAGAACCCTTTTTGGTTCTGTTTAGAACCCTATACAACACATTCACTATCAATTTGAAGTTTTACTATGCACAGAACCATTTAAGCATGCAAATGGTTCTTTGAGTGTTCATGGTTCTCTGTAGAACCATTGTCTTTACATGATTCAATGTGATTCAGTTTGATTCTTTTGGTATGAATCAGAATCATTGTTAAAGATACACTGAAAGTGGAGAGACAGACCTTAAAAACAACACAGTGAGATTTTTTGTGAGACTTTTATGTTAAAAAACAGATAATTTCTAATTTTATATCGGCTAAAAATACAATGTACTGAATTTTATTATAATCAATTATAATTGACTTCAACATTCCATAATCAATGCAGTTGAATCACCACCTTCAGATCAATGCAGTCACCCCCCACTTCCATCATTCTCTCTCCCTGTCTCCCTCTCTCTCTCTCTCTCCCTGTCTCTCTCTCTCTCTCTCTCTGCGCATGCGCGGGTGTGAGCGGTAGAGTGAGCGGAGCGCGGTGAGCGTGAGTGCGAGTGGTTGGCGTTTTGCCAAACTTTTTTCTCTGTTGTTACGTCGTTGTCAGTCTGTATCTGTAGTTTGTTTGAGTGAGTTTGTGTGTGAGTGTGTGTGTGTGTGTGTGAGTGAGGTGTGGTGGGGTGTGTGCGGGGCGTCAGTTACCGGCGTTTTGCTGGGAGCATGGCGTCCCAAAGCCCCAGGCTGTATGAGAGCCTGTCTCGCCGGCATGGTGTAAAGGTGGAGTGCCGCGCGAGTGTGGAGGAGTGCTGTTTGGCGGCGGGGAGCGTCGTCGGGTACAATAATGTTGTGTCTGCTTCGCGCATGAACAGCGCTGTGGTGATGTTCCTGTCCACTGTGGACAAAGCTAATGAACTGGTGCAGAGTGGACTCGTAATTAGTGATCAGTTCGTGTCTGTTCTGCCCCTCAGTACTCCGTCCAAAAAGATTATTCTGTCAAACGTCCCCCCGTTTATCTCTGACGAGCTGATCGCTCAGGAGCTGTCCCGGTTTGGAAAACTTGTCTCCCCCATTAAAAAGATCCCCCTCGGCTGTAAATCGCCCCTGGTGAAGCACCTGGTGTCGTTCAGGAGGTTGGTTTTCATGGTGCTGAGAGATGGTGAGGACGAGCTGGACCTGGTGCTGAAGTTCAGAGTCGAGGGGTTTGAGTACACGGTGTTTGTGTCGTCTGACACCAACATGAAGTGCTTCAGGTGCGGCCTGACCGGACATCTCGTCCGAGCCTGCCCTGAAAAGCTCAGCGCTAACGCTAATGATGCCGGGAGCGCGGAGCGGCCGGGGCCTGCCGCGGCTGAGCCCGCGGTGGCCGTCCCCCCTGCGGCTGCTGCTCGGCCGGCTGCGCGGGACCCGGCGGCTGCGGCGCCTGCGGGGGAAGAGCCGGCTGCGGCCGTGCCGGCCTCGGAAATGTCTGCTGGGGTTGCGCCGGCCGCGGACGAGCCTTTCCCGGCGGCGCTAACCGCGGAGGAGCCCGCTGTGGACGAGCCTGGTGGTGAGGAGCAGGAGCGGGGGATTCCTGACCCGGGGGAGCAAGATAACCAGGTAAGGGACAGCGGGACTGAGGTCAGTCTAGCTGGTACAGCAGTGGAGGTGGAAATGGAAGTGGAGACTGTTTTTAAAGTTCCTAATAAAAGAAAGAAGCGGAACCGAGGGAAGGGCACTAAACAGGCCAAAACAGACAGCAGTGCGGTGAATGAAGTGGAGTCTGAGAGCGAAGGCTCTCTGTCTGACTCGGGCTGGTCGGTGTGCTCGCAGGAAGAGAACATGGCTGTGCTCTATAAAGTTGACGATATAAGAAAGTTCTTGCGGGTCACTAAAGGCCAAAAGGGCGTCCGTGTTGAAGAGCACTTCCCAAATAGTTCACAGTTTATCCATGACGTCAGGCATTTTAGGAGGGAAGGGTCCTTCACCGCTTTAGAAGTCTACAGGCTGAAGAAGATCCTGACCAGACTTAATAAAGTGAGCACTGAGGATGAGATCTGACACTTCCTGCCCTCCCTGGTTCAGAATGGCCTCTGTTTTTAGTGTTTTTTATCTATTTTATTTTTTAATGGGTGATGTCAGAGTGGCGAGTCTGAACATTAATGGGGCGAGAGACTGTGGAAAAAGAGCAAAGCTATATGAGTTGGTGAAGCAGAAGAGACTTGATGTAATATTTGTACAGGAAACGCATAGTGATGTCAGTAACGCTGCAGACTGGGCTAAAGAGTGGGAGGGGCTTGCCTTTTTAAGTCATAACTCTTCTTCCAGTGGTGGGGTGGCTGTTCTTTTATCACAGAGTTTTACTCCTTGTTCTTATTCAGTGGATGAAATTTTAAATGGCAGACTTTTAAAAGTGACAGCGTGTTTTGAGAACACTGTTTTTGTTTTTATTTGTGTTTATGCCCCAACTGGGGGGATGGACAGGATGTCCTTTTTGGACACTCTGGACACCGTAATTGCAGGTTGTGGTTCTGATGAGTTTTTAATACTGGGTGGGGATTTTAACTGTACAGCAGACAGCATGGACAGGAACCACATGGAACCGCATGCTGCGTCCCGTAAGAGATTGTGTGAGATGCTGGAGGCCCATGACTTGTGTGATGTCTGGAGGAACTTCCATGGAGGGCAGAGACAGTATACCTGGGCACATTCAAGAGATAACACACTCTCATTGGCAAGGCTGGATCGATTTTATGGTTTTAGGTATCAACTTTCTGCTTTTACACGCTGTCTTATCTCCCCAGTTGGTTTTTCAGACCATTGTATGGTCCAGTGCACAGTAAGGAAACGTAACGTTAAGCCACAGAGTGCATACTGGCATTTTAACACTGCGCTTTTAGAGGATGCCAATTTTAGAGAGTCTTTTACTTTTTTTTGGGATGTTTTTAGCTCAATGAAAACATCTTTTAGCTCTCTGCTGCAGTGGTGGGACATAGCTAAAATACAAATTAAAGTATTCTGTCAGCAGTACACTCTCAATGTCACAAGGGACATAGCCAGATCTCTCAAAGCTCTGGAGACTGAAATAGTGGCGCTCCAGGGTTTAGCAGAGGCCACAGGAAATCGGGGGCATATTGAAGCTCTGAAAACAAAAAAGACTGCATTGGCTGACCTTTTAGGCATAACAGCACAGGGGGCGCTGGTCCGCTCACGTTTCCAGCGCGTGTCGGAAATGGATGCTCCTTCAAAGTTCTTCTTCGGTCTCGAGCGCAGAAATGGACAGAAAAGGTTTATGCATGCTGTGCGTACAGAATCAGGGGATCTCTTATCTGAGCCTTCTGAAATTCGGCAGCAGACAATCAGCTTTTTCTCAAAGCTGTACGAGAGCGAGTGGGCAGAGGCACGAGAGGTGGAGGAGGGATTCTTCTGTGACCTCAGCCAGCTCACGCGAGAGTCTGCTGCAGTGCTGGATGCTGATATCTCTCTGGGGGAGCTGTATGAGGCTCTTCAAGGCATGGAGAATGGTCGGGCGCCAGGTATTGATGGTCTCCCTGTTGAATTTTACAAAGCGTTTTGGTCAGTGTTGGGGCAGGATGTGCTGGATGTCCTCCAGAACAGCATAAGGGAAGGGAAGCTTCCGCTGAGCTGTCGGAGGGCCGTTCTAACCCTGCTACCCAAGAAGGGGGACCTAGCTGAACTGAAGAACTGGCGCCCTGTCTCTCTATTGTGCACTGACTGCAAGCTGCTCTCAAAAACGTTAGCCTCGAGACTGGGGAAGGTGATGGAGCAGGTGGTTCACCTTGACCAGACGTACTGTGTGCCTGGAAGGTCAATTTTTGACAATGTATATCTAATTCGTGATGTTTTGGAAGTCTCCAGACTATTGGGCTTAAAGACTGGTCTTATTTTTTTGGATCAGGAAAAGGCATTTGACCGGGTTGAACATGGCTATCTGTGGAAAGTTCTGGAGAACTTTGGTTTCAACCCGGGATTTATAGCCATGATCAAGGTTTTGTACAGTGACATTGAGAGTGTACTCAAAGTTAATGGTGGTTTATGTGCTCCTTTTAAAGTGCACAGAGGTATTAGACAGGGCTGTGCTCTGTCTGGCATGTTGTACTCTCTAGCTATTGAACCTCTGTTGTGCAAACTGAGAGACTGCATCTCCGGTTTGTTTATACCTGGCTGTTCTACTCCACTGTGTGTCTCAGCGTATGCAGACGACCTTGTTGTGATAGCAAGTACCCAGACTGATGTGGATGTTTTAGATAGAATTTTAAATGATTTTAGGGTTTTATCGTCTGCAAAAGTAAACTGGACCAAGAGTGAAGCAGTTTTAGTTGGTGACTGGGATGGTGGGGAA